ATGTGAACTCTGGACTTTGGGTGACTATGATGTGCCAGTGTATGTTCATCAATTTTAACAAATGTTCCACTCTGGTGGAGGAGTTTGATAATGTGGAATGCTATTTGTGTGTAGGGGCGGGAGGTATGTGGGAAATCTCTGTACCTTCCTGTCAATTTTTCTGTGAACCTAAAACTATATACAATTTTATAAAGTCTTAATAAAAAAAGACCATTAATAATCATTTGATGAATGACTGGAATGCCAAGTAGGTAATGAGCGAAACTGTCCATCTGGCAGCTCTTAGACTTAGCCTTACATGGGAGAAAAATAGTCATGCTTGGAGGAAGTATTCTCTATTGGGTTAGACAACCTTGGCAATGACAGTCATAGTAGCCTCTCAATGGCCAAGTCTACTGTAAACTATTCAATCGATTCTCCCACCTGCTGCTCTCTCAAGTTTCCTGTGTGAAGAGATCGGACATATAACTCTCTGGGCACACACAGCTGGCTCCTAAGGAAAGATTCCTTTCTGTAGGAAACCAGTTTAACCACTAGCTTCTTCTGTCTTATCACCCTATGGCTTTTTAGCTCTCTAATCACAGTCCGTTTTCCGACTAATTAGTATTGGGACAACTCAGCCCGGAACCTCAACTTGAAAATGCTGGTGTCAGAGAGAGAGCACTTAATCAAATGACTTGTGATTATTCAACAGAGAAATTTTCTCTGATTAAGACTGTCACCCTTTCTGAAGCACCTGTTCTTCTTTCTTACAGTCTTTGCTTGAGTAGGCTCTGCTGTGGCACGGCTGCCATGGCCGCTGGTGCTTTACTGAAAGGGAACGGGTGAATATGCCAATGTGATGAAGAGACCTGCATTTTCATTGAAATAAAGGATATTTTTTTAATTTTTTTTTTAAAGATTTTATTTTTTCCTTTTTCTCCCCAAAGCCCCCCGGTACATAGTTGTATATTCTTCGTTGTGGGTCCTTCTAGTTGTGGCATGTGGGATGCTGCCTCAGCGTGGTCTGGCGAGCAGTGCCATGTCCGCGCCCAGGATTCGAACCAACGAAACACTGGGCCGCCTGCAGCGGAGCGCGCGAACTTAACCACTCGGCCACGGGGCCAGCCCCAATAAAGGATATTTTTAAAGAGTTCCCTACTGACTGTTAACTTTAAAAATGTCAGTCTCTTATCATAGGAATAGGTAAATAGCTTATTCAGCTTTATACGACGGGTTGTCTTGTCCTCATGAGCTCTTCAGTCTATAAAGATTACAACAGTTTTAATTGTGTTAAAATACTTATTTTTATGTTTCTTTGACTTTGAATATTTCCTATCAGAAGGGACATGATTTTTGATCCAAGCCTTGACAGTGAGCAAACTTTTAAGCTGGTCTCTCGTAGACTTTACATAGGAGGCAATTTGGGAGCACTGGACGAGGCTCTAGATCTTTGAGTCAGGCTGACCTTGGTTAGTATTGAATTCTGCTCTCACGGTGAGATTTCTAACAAGGTACTGAGCCCATCGTCCTATTAAGGAGGCTAATATATACTTAATAAAGTTCTTATGATGATAAAATGAAACGAGGTACCTAAAATACTTCTTCGGACAACTGTTAATGCAGGAAGCAATTATTTAGTACCAGCGAAATTGTAGTTTAAATAGAAACCAGAGACATTTGTTTCTCACCTCCCATAAACTCCCCTAAATATTTCCTTTCCCACATGATTCTTTCTTACTAGATTTCATGGAACAGAGAAAATGACAAGAAAAAGAATTTCTCCTAAAAGAAAATAACTTTTTAATACAATGAGTATTCCTTCCCAGGTTGTTCTGGAGGCTTCTGACAACCTTCAGAGTGGAAACTTTACTCATTGCTCAGATAATGTTACTTTTCTCCTGCCTATAGACTGCAGGGATCCCGTGCAGATGACAAGGTGCCCTCCAGACCTCAGATTTTGAGGAATGCTTGTCAAAACACATTGTTTTTTTTTTTTCATCAGTCAGACATTGCCAACCCCCTAATTTGTTTCCATTAATATGTGATAATAAAGCCTAGAATTGGCTCCTTTAAAGCAAGTTTAAGCATGTTACTTGCATTTGGCGAAATATTTATGATTTCTTTCCCCAAATGACAGTGTTCCCAGTCCAGCAATGCGGGATGGAGGCAATGGAGAAGAAATATATCTTTCCTCAAATATCCATATGCTGAGGGCTTTCCAGTTGAAGGGCTGTTTCTAAGCCATCTAAGGTTATCAGGGACAGATTGAGAAATAAAAGTAGTAATACATGGTGATAAGATTTGGGGCTTTAGAGCCAAGCAGATGTGATTTTTATCCCTGTACTCATCCTCACTGGCTCTGTGACCTTAGACTATGAATTGACTTACTCCTAGTTCCAGTTTTATCATAAGCAAAAGAGAGACAACAGCCCTGAATTGCAGAATTGATTAGAGGAAAAGAGATGATGTGCATAAAAGTGCAGCGAGGAGCTGGCCCGTTGTGGGTGTTTGATGAACAGCAGCTGTTATTACCGTGATGTTATCGATATGACAAGGATGAGAAGGGGCTCTGTCACCCTGGACATCATGCCCACTCTTAATAGCACATCCTCAGCGCGCCATCTTGTTTGATATTGGATGGTTGACCTTAGTCATAGCACGTGTTGGACTTTCTGAGGAATTGCGAAACAATGGCCCTCTAATTCCCCCTGACTCTGAGAAAGCCTTAATTCATGCAGCAATGGAAAACTGCCCGCTGATGAGGGTATGCAGAATGTGATGCACGACAGAGAATGGCCCTCTGTTTCTAAACTTTCTGTTCCTAGAAGGAAGAAAAGCCTACTGGATATTTAAATGCATCCACTTCAAAGGCCTCTCTTTTAAATCTTCCCAGGACATAGGCTCCTGCAAAGAGGAAGAAGCTGATGTTCTCAGTAAAAGCTGAAATAACACAGGTTCAGGAGGTAGGGTATGGTGAGGCCCTCAGGAGAAAGGGTCTGAGACCCAAGACTAATCATAGTGTATGGTGCTGTCTTCCTTTTACTCTATTCTCCGGCCTGACTAAACTATCATGGTTCTTCAGGTTGCTTGGATATTTTCCTGCTTTCTCGATTTTGATCCTACTGATCTCTTGGCCAAGAATGTTTTCCTCTTATAATCAGCTTAGATAATCTTCCTCATTGTGGGTTCTGAAGCCACATGGACTGAGTTGAAATTCTGGCTCCACCACTTACTTTCTTGTAACTTTGGGCAAATCACATACCTTCTCTTTGCCTGTTTTCTTATCTGTAAAACTGGAAAATATAATGGCACCCCTTGCTACTCCTAATGTGAGTAGCACCAGCGTTACTTGAGTATTTCTTGGAAATGCGGAATCTCAGGCTCCACCTCACCACCTACTGGACTCCAATCTGGGTTTTAGTAGGATCCTCTGAGATTTACTTGCTCATTAAAGTTTGAAACGCACTGATGATACCTACATGATAGGGCTGTTGTGAAGATTAAGTGAAATAATGGATGTAAAGCAGGTAGAACCTGACATAAACACTAAGTGCTGAAGAAATATTGGGCTATTATTTGTTTTATTTTGCGTCAAGATATTCTTCAAGTGGAACTTTCCTGTCAACTTCCTATGATCTTTCCATTATTCTCTTCTTGTTTAATTACTCCATATTTTGTCTGTGCTCCACAAAAATCTCTGTAGGTGCCTTTGATAATTTAATTGCCTGGACCCTTATCTGTCAAACTCAGAGATCTTTAAGGGCATAGAAGCATCTTTTATCTCCCTGCCCTCTGGGATCAGGACAGTGCCAGAAGAGACCTTCAGTAAATATCAGTTGAATAAATGATACACACACACAACAACAACAGCAACAAATAGCAACAGTACCAAGTGGATGATAAAAAAAAATACTGGAAAGACTCAAGGAATGCTAAGGTGCTATGAGAAATTTCCTTACAGAGAGAGAGATTTAAGCTGTTCTTTGCACAGCATGGACGTTCAAAAGTTTAACAGAAAGAAATGGTGTAAATTCTGGATGTAGGTAATGACGTGAGTGAAACTTAAAAATGAGGGTGCAAGTAACAGGTTCAAGGGAGCAAGAATTGATGTGTGTTTCTGGAACAGAGAATTCTTTTTGGAACTACAGTAGAAAAAATAAGATGTGCATTCACATACTGGAGATCCTGTGTACCAAACTAAAGAGTTTGAAAATAAGGGAACTTTGAATGTTTTTGAGTTAGAAAGTAACACTCAACATGTCTTTTAAAAAGGAAAAGAAAAAGAAAAGCTTATTAATTGCATCTACTTCTTAAGTAGCTATATGGAGAGTGAGGTTGATTTATGCCTTCCCAGACTCATGTGAATATTCTGAAGAAGGATGCATGTCGAGAGGGAGGGGCAATGATGACAGAGCTGGTGCATACTAGCAAAGCAAAGATTCATTTCACTGATGGTATGCTATCGTTTGATTTTTTTGCCACATCTTAAAGAGGAACAAACAGCTATCAAGTCCATGTAGACACTTATGGATTGTTTCAAAGTATTATATTTTTTTTGTCACAGGTGCTGTTTTCTTCTAATTTGCAAATACTCTGAAAGCCGATAATTTCCTCTACAAAATTACAGTAACGTATGACTGAGCAATTCAAGTGACCATTTTAGGTCCTGAATTTGAGTTGCTATAAACCAGTTAGTGAGTAGTAAACAGCAGGGTTGGACCTAGGTGGATGGTGTGTGGTCAGCTGGCCTCACTCACTGGGTCCTTCAGTGACTCTCTTGCAGATTTATTTCAACTTTGTGCTTCAGTAAATTTCCCACTGTCTCCAGGCCATTGGTCTTAAGAGCAGTCTACAAAACATGCCAATGAGTTTGAAAATATACTAAGGATATTTTATGTGGATCCTGCGGGATGGAGTGATGGCTTCACAATGTTTCCATTGGAATTGAATTTCCTGAGAAAGAAGTTCAAAGAATAGCTAGTTTGTCCTCAATATTTTGTACTGCCTTTATGTTGCAGATAAAACAGAAAGAGTCAAAGAGGATCAGAAATAAATGAAATCTCTGACAACTAAACTGCTTATGTGTTTATCCTGTTGACTGATTCTTTTCTGGATTGTGCTCCTTGTGGGCAGGTATGTGAACTTTTTTCTCTTATTGTCCAAAAGATGTTCAGGCCAGACCTGAATACAAAGAAGGAGCTCAACAAAAGCTTAGTAAATAGGCGAACTTCAAAATTGTCTTTAGTATGTATTCATTTCCTAGGTATCCTGATAGTGCTCCTGCTAATAAGCAATTGAAGCCGTTGAGTAGCCTATATTACATCTTGGGTTTCAGGCAGAGTCTCTGCTCATAGCTCCTTGAGGCCATAAATCTCCCTACCAGAGACTGTGCTTACTGTGTCCATGGAGAGACAGTCTATAATTACAAGCTTCGTGGGAGGGAACAGAGTGACTAAATCACAGTGATGTGTAAAAACATCTTGCTAGAAGGTGAGGGGAGGACACTGGGTTAAATAATGGTAACACACATTATTTTTATCTACAATGCAATGTAATATCTTGTAAATAAGAACAAATATCTACTGTGTACGTATTACATGCCAACCATTGTGTAATAGTTTACAGGCGTTATGAGTTGTTATTCACATAAACACTAAGTAGGTATTAATATTTTTCTCAATTTAACATAAGAAGACACTAATGTTTTGAGAGATCATGTAATTCATCTGTATTCAGAGAGCTTAATAAAAATGAAGTTGCACATTTATTCCAATAGATCTCTCGGTCATTTTTTGTTCTGATGAATGACTGCTAGGATGCTTCCAGATCTAATATTTTATGATTAATGAAACATTTTCCCTTAGGCTTTTCTGGATATTGAGTTTTAAGAATGATAGCTCATTCAACAGCAAGTCAAAATTTTATTGGCAAAGTTAAAGTTGTTTTATTCACTACAGATAAAGGGCAAAGAGGTAAGACTTTGTTGGAGGCAGATCACATATATACCTGACATTTTCATGAAGAATATATGTGGGATTCCAGGGAGAAAGCTGGTTGGGAAGAGAAGTGGGAATTTGTGTCAATGGAGGAAAGTAGGGGTTTTAAAACCAGAAACCAACACTCACCCCATTGTCTTATCCTTTCAGACCACACCTGTGGATAGTCTATACAGAGGGTGAGAGAGTGCTAAGGAGGGAGTTTTTGGCAGAGATTGTGAACAACGTAATTGAGAAGGAAAAGTACAGGAATGCATGTTAAGAGAAAGTTCTGGATTTATTCTGCCTTTGACAATCTTAAGAGCTTCAGATAAACCACTTAAATTTCCTGCACCACAGCTTTTGTCCTAGCAAATATCCTCTAAAAATATAAGTTATTAGTGGCCTTGGTTTAAAGGAATATTATAATCAGACCCTGAGGTGAAATAGAGAAATAGTGAACAGTCTAATGCTGTTATTTTTTTCTCAGTAGATCTTCACTGAGTTCCCACAGGATGCATGAATTTTTAATCTATAATTTACATGGACAGAAAGTGTCAATTTATTAAGCTCATTTAAAAAGCAAATGATAATGTCATCCCCATATGTTTCAAGTGAATCATTTAATGTGAATGAAGATCAGTTTGATGTCACCAAAATAGAGTAGGAAATAGAGAATAGAAAAACTTTCCTTCTTCTGGAAAAGGTTTGATGCTAGGATAACCTACCTTGTCTTTCCAAACATGGCAGATCAAAAAGACTAGAGAATATGTTAGAAACAGATGTTCTTGAAAACAATGACATCTGAAGGTTTATTTCCTGGAGGGAAGCAAAATGCTGAAGGAAATAATTAGTTTGGAAATCATATTTGGAAATTTTAAAATGGTACCATTTACAAAAGCATAAAAAGTCAAATAGAAAAAAAAATCTAAACAAAATGTGCAGAACCTCTCTACCATTGCTACTCAAAGTATGGCTCATGGAGCAGAACCAGTCTGTGATTTTGTTTCTTACTTGTTAGCAACGAGATAAGTACAGAAACTAAAAGTAAGTGTTTAGAAACTTTCACAGTGAGTTGACATTATTGCAGCGTCCAGCATGTGATCCAGAGATTTGATTCATTGAAAAGTGTGTAAACCAGTTTGCATATTGTTGAATTGAGTTGGTAAGGGACATGTGGGTCAAGTTATGACCTAGTCATGCATATAGTGACCTGAAATGGTTAGAAAACAGAACTGGTTCTACATCATAGATTCGAAATCTACAGAACTTTATTGAACAAATTAAGAGGATCTAAATAAGAGCAGGGATAAACTATGTTCATGGATTGGAAGATTCAGTATTTTGAAGATGTCAGTTTTCCCCCAAATTAACTTGTAAAGTCAGTGCAATTCCAGATGAGATCTTGGCAGATTTTTTGTGGGAGTGCACAGAGAGAGAAAATGACAAGCTGAATCTTAATTCATATGGGCTAAAAAGTAAGCAAAGGAACAAAAAAAAAAAAGAAAAAGAAAGCTAGAAGACCTAAATTACCAGCTACCAATCTCTAGTATAAAGACATAGTAATTAATACAATGAAACTAAGACAAAAAAATACAATCTAACAGCAGAACAGAATAAATAGTCCAGAAATAGATCCCATACATTTGTGGTCACCTAATTATGACTAAGATGTTACTGCAGTGCAGTGGAGGAAGGGGTAATCCTTTTAATCAACAGTGCTGAGTCATTTGATTTCAAGGGGAAAAGACATTTCCTTGACCCTTCAAACCACACCAAAAAAATCAGTTCTAGATCAATCATAGATCTAAATGCTAAAACAACAAAGCTTTCAGGTGAAAACATAGGCAAACATCTTTATAAACCTGAGGTAAACAAATATTTCTTAAATAGGACACAAAAAGTATAAACTACAAAAGAAAAACTTGATAAAGTTATCTATATTAAAATCAAGGGCTTTTGTTCTCCAAAACACACCATTAAGAGGGTACAAAAGCAACTCACAGAATGGGAAAAAAACAGTTACAGTGCGTATGTTCAACAAAGGACTCATATCCACAATATATGTTTTTAAATCAATAGACATCAATAGGAAAATGACTGACAATCTAATTGAAAAATGGACAAACAATTAAAAGAATGGATGCTCCACAAAGGAAGATATCTAAATGGCCAGTAAACAAAGGAAAAAGTGCTTTACTTTGTTAGTCAGCATGAAAATGCAGATTAAAGCTGTAAAATGGTAACTGTTGGCAAACATTTGGAGTAACCAGTACTTTTATATATTTCTAGTGAGAGTGTGTTGCTAACAAAACTGTTTGGCTGTATCTACTATAGTTAAACATATACATATCCCATGAACAAGAAATTTGTACTTATTCTACCAGAAGATAGCTACTAGAAAGCTCATAGCAACACTTAGCCCTACCTTGGAAATTACCCAATGCCCATCAAAAGTGGAATAGAAAAATAAATAACGGTATATTTACATAGGGGAATATTGTACAACAATGAGGATGAATTGTCTCCAACTTCACCTAATTGTATAGAAGAATCTCACAAATAGAGTTCTGCATGCAATGAACCACACAAATGAGCACATATTTTGTTATTCAAACAAAATAGCAATCATATTTTATAGGAATCTATGCTGTTCAAAGTCCAAATTGGGGTTAACTTTGGGAGAAAGTAATGACATAAAGGGAGTATAAGGAAAACTTCTAGAGTGCTGATGACTATGTTTCCCGATCTGGTTACACAAGCTCAGTTTGAGAACATTCACATATCAGTGCTCTCTTGTCTATGCATATTTTATAAGTAGGTCAACCAATCGATCAAACTTTAAATAAATGACACACATACGGAAACACAGAGGTTTCACATGAAGAGTTAGTCACAGCAGCTTGGAGGAAAAAGATTAAAATATAGTAAGTAAAGTCAGATTTCCAATTCTGAAGTTTCCGTGATGTTGTGCTGGCGCTCTGAGTTCATTGAAAGGGCCAGCTCCCTTTAAGAAGAGAGGTTTAAAATGATAGATGCTCCAGCGTGCCAATTGTATTTTCAAATGTAAATCTAGTGCATATACATAGCAATACTGAAGAAAAAGCAGCAGGGACTGTCAAATATATGGAACATAAAATGGTTCAGCAACTTTAGAATTCCCAGCTTGAACCTTTTTCATCCAAGAAAATACACTGTGTCTCAGGCCAAGGGCACAGTAGAGGTACTGCTGTTGATGGTTTATTATAAGCAGGGGGCTACAGAATCTAAAAGGATTATTGATAGCCCAAATTGGGGTGCCACATGTGAAGCCAAATAGGAGTTATTTTTGGTCTTGGTTTAAAAGGAATATTATACTCAGCTTTCCAGCTGAAATAAATAGGTAATGTGCAGTCTACTCTAAAAGTAACAAACATGTTAATTTAGTTGAGAATAGGTCCTAGAATTATATTTCATTATGTCTAAAAATAAAGACTTTTAGAGCCCTCCATTGAGGAATCAATGCATAGGCCAGGTTGACAGACACAGTCCTGTGGCTTAATAAATTACAGATGGTGAGAACTTGCCTCACTCAGGGCTAGGAGGTGGATGGAGGAGGTGTATTGGAAGGTTTCTGCTTCCACCCCGTGCTCTCTAACATTCTCTGGGTCAATTAGACTTAAGACGCTCTTTTGTTAGATACTGAGCTTCCCCTGAGATAATACCACAAATTAGTTGCATGCTAATTTTCCTGGGATGGACATGTATTAATAGCACTGCCTTTTATAATAATTTTCCATTCATTAATTCAGTTGTTTATTGTTGTGGTCATTTTTATTAATTGGTTCAGTGATTGCATGTTGACTAATTACGAAATATTAGGGGCTATGGGAGACTCAGGGATGTCTAGGAAATAGTCCTTGTCTTCAAGGAAAATGCATACTAATAAAGTTTTCATAAATGTCTAAAATCAATATAAAGGGGAATGCAGTGAGAGAAATTAAAAGACTGGTAATGGAGAGAAAGGAAAGTCTCCTTTTAGAGAGGTTAAGCAAAAATTTGCAGAAGTCGTGGTCTTTGAACTGGGCCACAAAAGGGAAAAACTTTTGGACAGAAGAGTTGAAATAAAGTAGGTTCCAATTAGAGGAAAGAAGGCGAACAAATGTATGGGGATGGAAA